ATGAGAACTGCTTCACTGGGTACTTATGGATATAAGATGAGGAAAAGGTGTTTAATGCCCAAAAATGTGTGACTACCACCCAAATGTGTAAACTGAGACTCAGAAAAGAAATTGACCTGTTCAAGGTCACAACTAATTAAATACCTTGCACATAATGTTCTCTTTTGTGGAAGAAACTTACTCCATCCCTCCCATTCCAATGCCATTCCATGTTCTTGCCAGTGCTGTGAGAACCTCAGCTACTAAGGTCATTAAGATATTCTGAGCAGCAGGAATGGAGAAGCTGTTGTGACTAGAAAGCAGAAGTCATTGAGTGTGGTCTGAATTTAAATTAAATAATGGAGTTGTGTCAATGCAGGTGAACATGATAACTTTTCATTAATAGTCTTCCTAGTCTTTAATCAAAATTGACTCAACATGAGAGTAATCTTCTCAGTTGGACTTTATCACATAATTTGCTTACATTTGGTTGATTTAATTCCTCAGCAATAAAGGGTAACTAACATGGCTTAAAAAACATAGATCGTATAACATTTTATCAGCTCTGAATCTCCATCGGCGTTCAGATCTACCTAAAGCTCAGCTCCAGCTCTCCATCCTATGATTTTTGCCTTATTCACAATAAGCTCAAATAGTTTTCCCCTAGCATGTTTCTTCACATTTCTCATGTAAAAAATACCATTAAGTAATGCATTAGGAAGAAGTAAAGCCATTGCATGGAATAAAAAAGAAAGCACTATATAAATTTAAACAGCTATTGAGATGGGTAAAGAAATCTATTGATTTTGATTGTAAAAGAAAGCTTCTGTGGAGCAGGTACTTTTGTACTACAGGTAACCGGAGGTTAAAAAAAATAAAGGCGACATAAAAGAAAATCTTTAATTTCATAGAACTCATAATCCCATTATGAAAACAATACGTATATCTATAAAATATGGAATAACAGTACTAGGCATTTAATAATAAAAGACAGAATTACTTAGAATTGGAACTTAAAGATTTATGGGCTAGAGGAAATGATAAATAAACTGGGTTTTTAATAATAGGAAGGTTTTCCACAGTGAAAGGGAGAGAAATACACACACACACACACACACACACACACACACACACACACACCCCTAGATAAAGAAATACCAAGAGAAAAGGCCAGCAAGTAAAGTTCCAAGTGTTTACAACCATTGTGCCAGGGAGCTTATGGAGGAGATAAGGGGAATTTTAAATTCTTCTGGATGAATGAGACAATTACTAGGTAATGGAAAATGATTGAGAGTTTTATGACCAACTCATAGCCATATCTCAATGACATAAGCTCCAAGTACACTTTGTTCCAAAATTGAGCTTTCAGACAAAAAGTCCTTTCTATTATGATTCTGCCACTAACTTAAAATGGGGTGAAATGCTGACAGGTATACATTCTTTAACACCAAATCAGGAAGTAGAGAAATGTGACAAATGATTGATCTCCCCATTCCCATACTCACTAAGCATTCTCTTGCTCTCTGGAACCACAGATTATATACACTCACAAAGTCTCTTGCATTAAGTAGGTGTTGACCCTCTAATACACTCGAAGAATATGCCACATGAATGGATTAGAATATGTCTCATATTTGGTGAAGGAGAGGCATTTTCTAGTGTCTATATAAATGAGCCAGAAATACTCCCAATAGTTCATCACAAATGAAGAGAGGATAGATAGCTCTTCCAGGAATTGAGTGCTTCCAGAGCTTACTAATATATTAATTTAAGAACAGAATTACCAGTAATATAAACAACACTTGCCTCAAAATGTCAAAACAATCTTGGGGCAACCAAAAATGTATTTTTTAGAATTATATTTTTCCTTTCCATTCAATCTAAATGATATATTTTTATACAGAAGTGGTAGGGGTAAAATTCTGTCCATCTCTTTCCTTCCCCCTTTCCGTGTGTGTGTGTGTGTGTGTGTGTGTGTGTGTGTGTGTGTGTGTGCGTGCGCGCGCCCACGTGCACGCGCTGCACGCAGGTGTCTATCTTTATGAACAAAAACTATATTGTGAAAATACTGACTATAGCACAGTAATAGGAAATATATTAGAATCCAAAAATATAGATTAAATTAAACTTATACTGTTATTGACAGCCCCAAAAACATTTAAAAATTGTTAAACAAATGAAAGTCTTCATTAACTTCATAATTGTTATCTTCAATGATCCATTTTTAGTTTAATAATCAGCTGTAGATGACTATTTTGATTTGAAGCATTTAATAAATTATTTATTTTTAAACTACCCAAGACCAGGATTACAAGACCATTCAGATAGTCACTTTAACATATATAATCATGGGTAGGGAGAGAGCAAAGAGAATATAGAAAAAAGAAAGCATTTACCTGACTGATTAAAGATTTTATGAATCCTGATAGAGCCTTAGATTTCCTAAGGGGCAGCCTTAGGCTACTAACTGCATTTTCCCTCTGCCCGTCTGATATCTTCAAATTGTAGAGCAACTGATGCTGCTTTAGGAACAAAGAAAATACTTAATGCACATATTTCAAATAATTAAAATATACGGAAAACTAGCAATGCAAAAAAAGTTATATTCCATGCACTGCCTAAATAACAAACAGCATAGGTTGAAACACTTCGATTCTCCAAAGACCACAACTCCCTATGTCAACCGAAACCACTGCTTTTCACATTTTCCTAAAAGCAATCATGGACCTTAATGCAAGAATCTAAGAAGTAAGGGTGTCTCTGTAACTGACTGGTGGCCAAGACCCTGGTTCACCTACTACAGTTGGCTTTAGTGGACTTTAAAAATAATTTTCTCTAGGATACCTCAGAGACATAAAACTAGATAATAGTGACAGGTAGAAGTCAATGTTTTGGAAATTTCAAGGCATAGGCAAGGGAAAATTAAAGAGGAAAACTAGATATGAAGAAGCTTAGAGATTACTGTTTACATATCATTTGGAAGCACGGATTTCGAAGCAACTTTATACAGAATAATATTATTTGGAATTTGCAAACAAAAATAAAACTCATGCCAAGTACATGAATTTATTTACACCTCTGTATAATTTGTTGGGATCCTCTGTTTTTTAATGCACTGTATCTATCTCCAGAAAACATTGATGTGGTATGCAAAATTTTAAAATATACCTCAACATTCCTGTTCCCTAGAGTACACATCCCCATAACACTCTCCACTTAAATCCAGGTGCCATCTGTGATTATGACAGATGTCACTCCAGTGATTATGCTATATTATATCACAAAGGTCAAGAGATTTTGCAGATTTAATTCCCAGATTAGTTTGAGTTCATCAAAAGAATGACTATCCTATGTAGGCCTAACCTAACCAGGTGACCCTTTTAAAAGAGGGTCCGAGTCTTTCCTAAAAGAGAAATTCAAAGAGATAAATTCTCCTGCTGACTTTCAAGAAACAAACTGCTTTGGATAAGGCCATGTGGCAGGGGGCCTCCAGTAGATGAAAATGGCCCTCGACTAACAGAACAAAAAGCAGGGACCTCAGTCTTACAATCCCAAGGAAGTGATTCTGTCAACAATTAGTGAGTTTGGGAGAGAACTCTGAGCTCCAGATTAGCAGGCAGCCCTGGCTGACACCTTGATTTCAGGTGTCTGAAAGACCCTGAGCAGAGAACTCAGCTATGCCATATCCAGACTTTAGACCTACTGAAACTGAGATAAGAAATGAGTATTATTTTAGGTTGCTGAATTGGTAGTAATTTGTTATTCGGCACAGAAAACTAATACATTCAATTTGTATTGAATAACAACTATTTTTTTCTGCTTCCTTTCCATCTACCCATCTCTTTTTCCTCTTTTTCTAGAAACAAGTCATATTTCCTTTAGCAAATTGGTTAATCACAAATTTCAACCACATAGTTCTCTTAGAGGTTATTAGTCACAGTATTCTTTTCCCACTGACCCTAGCAAACAGCCTGTGACAATCCATACCGATCATGAAACCCAGTGACAGTGGCCTGGCATTTGAATGGCTCAGGCATTACCATTTGGCTCAAACAAGACCAAGAGAATTCCTCTACAGGATGGTTCTTAAACTATCTAACAGGGAAACTGATTTTCACTCACTAAACTAAAATTATACCAATGGCTCTGTTCTCTAACTCTTTGTTCACTGAATTCTGGAAAAAAACTTGACTTAACGGAAGAGACTATGAAACCAACAAGTAAAAAGAAGCAGACAGAAAAGACGGGAAGAAAGAGAGAGCCCTGACCCCAAAAAAGGCCCCAGTTCAAATTCACTTTTCTCTATTACTTGTGCTTCTAAAGATAATTTTTATTGAGTTCTGGTAACCAACAGTGATGAATTGGGTTTCAGTGCCAAAAGAAAGCTAATCATTATAATATCTCACTTTAGTACCCCAAAATTTCTAGGATAACATCTGCTATTTTTTCTCTTGCCTAGAGAAGCTAACTTAACCTAGAGAAGGTAAATCTTTCCATTTGTTGTATGTACCAAAGTCTATAACATGCTCTTTGAACTTTTTAAGTAGGAGGAGAGTAGAAATGGCATGCAACTCTTAATAAGATGAAATAATTCAGACAGACATGTGTTCAGTAAGGCTTTCTTTCTATTTCATTCTCTACAAAGTTAGTCTTGTCAAGAAAATCATTGCATTCTTCGAGCAAGAAATTAAAATCTCTCAAACTGATATGAAAACATCAGACCTTTCAGGCTGCCAACTAAAAATTGAGGCCAATATGGGCAGAGTGATATGCTTTGGCTGTGTCCCCACCCAAATCTCATCTTGATTTACAATTCCCATAATCCCCACATGTCAAGGGAGGGACTCAGTGGAAGGTAATTGGATCATGGGGGCAGTTTCCCCCATGCTATTCTCACTATAGTGAATGAGTTCTCATGAGATCTGAGGGCTTTATAAGCATCTAGCATTTCCCCTGCTTGCACTTCTTTCTCCTGCCACTATGTGAAGAAGGTCCTTGCTTCCCCTTCACTATCCACCATGATTATAAGTTTCCTGAGGCCTCCCAGACCTTGTGGAACTGGGAGTCAAACCTCTTTTCTTTAATTACCCAGCCTCTGGTAGTACAATATCTTTACAGCAGTGTGAGAATGGAGTGGTACACAGAGGATTACCAAGTGACTCAGTTTAGACAATTCCAAATGAGAAAATGTTATGGAATCATTTCAGGACAGTGTGATGAGTCCCTATTACAATCTACACTTAAGAATTATGTGGCACTCTGGATTTTGATACTCATTTACTTAATTCATCTGCAAGATATATTTATTTATAATTGTAGCCTTAAATCCTTGTTGGTAATAAAAAAGCTGTGATTTTCCATTTGTGATGGTCTCATTAGAGTATTGTAAAGGCCCAGACACATTAGAACAGAAACATTCTTTATGTAGGAACTAAAGAAAATACAGCTAAGAAGCCATTCCTTTTATATCAATCAGCTACTGCCTTTGATTTTTATCTCTGTGATGCAATTACTACAGCTTAATATATTCTCCCATCTGTGGTCCCTTACCCACCACACTAAAATTTAAAAAGAAAATTATACTTTTCTCGTGTGGATTCAGAGATTAATTATCAAAATTAAGAAATACCAATAACTTTATTGAAAGTAGGAGAATGAATAGTGATTACTTCTTCCAATCCTTCCTGTGTAATGTTCATCTAAGAGAATATCATCCTGAATTCAGCTGCTGATTCCCAGGGAAGCTAACAGAAGTGGCATCCTGTAAAGTTCTGTTCTATTAAAGTGACAAAAATGCTAATCAAAATGGAGAGGAAAATTTTATAACTAAACACAAAATTTCAATTTAATAATTATTTATTGAAGGAAAATTGTTGATGGAGTAATGTAAGGACATGAAAAAGTATGAAATGTGGTCTCTACCCTCACACAATATAGTTGGGAAGTCATAAAAACAACACAAAATTTCTAAGACACAATAAAAAATTATGTGTCACTGGCTTCATGGAAGAGCTAAATATTCTTGAATGAATGTCAGCAATATGCCTTTTGTAATTTCTAACTCTTCCAGTTTTCAGTGTCTTCATCAATAAGATATGAATAATAATCTTCCCAAAGTGAGGATTAAATGGGATAGGGTACAGATACTCAACATGTGGTACTATGCTCTTCACATTTTTTATACACTATACTGTTGCCTTTTTACCTAGAAGCCAAGCAATTGAATGTGAAAGATATAAACCGATTAAAGTGAGATTATCCTTCAGTAGGGTAAAGACTTACCAAACCAGGTGATCTATGTCAATAGAACATAATCTCAGGAGCATAAATAAACCAAAAGAAACTTCTGCTGAAAGAAACTTAAAAAGAGAGAGAGAAAGTTGGTCTACACTTCAAGGCTTAAATAACCCGAAAGAAGTTAATTAACTAAACAAAAACAGATTAAATAGTCTGATATTTGATAAATATGTCTTGTGAAAAAATAAAAAACAAGAATGAAAAAAGAGACTTCCATGTACATAAAATCTAGGATGTGAGGGGCATACCTGAATTTCAGTCTAGACAAAGAGCAAACCAGTAGCTGTAGCTCTTCACCATTTAATCCCTAGGATTTTCTCAAGGAAAGACAGGGATGAAGAAAAGGGAGTGTGCTTCCTCAGCAAATATGGCTTCAGAAAAAACAATCCTGTTCACATTCTAAACAGATCAAACCTAAGATATTCCTACCTACAATTTCTGGCACCATTACTGTGTGAGTTTGGGGCAAAGGAGACAGTGTATACCTTAGTCAATAAACGAAAAGCTTAGATTTATGTAAATAAATATGCATGTTAGATAAGAAATTGGAAGCGAAATAGGAGGTTACAGTTGAAGTCTGATCATTATTTTAAGCTCCACAAAGCAGAATTAAATAACAAGACTTGTATTTGTGATGTTTGCTGTCATTTTAGAGGTTTGTCTTTGTAATACTTTGTTAGGTTTACAAGATTTAGAGGTTTGTTGTTGCACTGTTTTGCAACCATAGTGGTTTCTACCAGTCAAGCACGGTTCTGAACTACAGATCAAAGGTACATATCTAAACCATGGATTTTTCTCTCATTATCCTTGTTAAATGAAATCAGGACCCTTGACTGAAACTACTGAAAAGATACATAAACCTGTATTATACTTAGATAAAATAAAATACGAAAAATATGAATCTGGCAGTGTTACATCATATAATCACTGAATTCAGTAGAATTCAATCTTATTTGTTTATCTATTTTTATGTCTGTAAGCAATCAAAAAACTAAAAATAAATAAGTAAAAAATAAAAACAGTGTAAGTAGTGCAGTTGATTTTGTCTACCACTACATCCAGCAGGCACATACCTTCTCTAAAATGAGTGTGAGATGGGAGATGCATAACTCCTGTTATTTTAGTCTTTTACATTTCCAGCATTCCTGTGCATGTGAGCAATTTTCTGCATTGAATGTAATTTAAATATTTAAAGATTAATATATGTACATATACATACACACATTTACATGTATATATATATATATATATACACACACACACACACACATATACCCACATGCATACTTCTTTGACTTACCATAGTTTTTAAACGCAAGCCAACCACTCGTTCTCTCTAAAAAGGAACATCACTGTATACATTATATATTTATAGGTGTGTAATACTGCACAGGATTGTATTTTAAAAGCATCCATTTTGTGCTCTATGAACATTTTGGAGGTTTTTCAAATTTTATCCTTACCCATAGACAGCAGTGCCTAACCTCTACCAAGGCTGCCTCTACCAAGGCTGCTTGTGAGTTTACATGGGAAGTAAGCTTTTGGAAACACTAGGAAACTAAAGGCAGAAATACAGCTTAACATTGACTCTTTTTGTAATCACAGATGAAATGTCTTAAGAATTGAATCTGGAGGGCCCCAGATAGAGCAGAAGTAACTATAATTTAAATATCAGATGTTGGTAAAATAATATTCAGAGTGAAAAGCTTTTGGTCAGAAGCTTTCAAAGATCGCTCACTCAATTGTCAAAATAAGATAAATATGAGAAGAGAAAAAGCACCTTTTAAAATATTGACACAGCAGAATGAAGTAGATATAACAAGCTTTGGAATCTGCCTTGAAGAAATTTAAAACAGAGAAACAAGAACAGTCAAGTGAGAAGTCAGGGTAGTGAAGATAGCTGTCTAAAAACACTAAGGAGAGGAAAGGACAGGGAACAAATCAGAGTATCTCATTAAAGTCAGGGTGCCCCAAAATGACATATATTATTTGTGGAAATGTCTGTGAATGGAAATCGTGAGGACTATTTCTCACGGAATCAAGAGGCTTCCATTTGCATCAACCATTGGTGGTGGGGGAGGCATGATGCTGAACTACACTTCCTCTTTGAGTGGGAGCCAAAAGAGATGTTTGGAAATGATGATGGGAGGTCTAAGGAAAGATAAAATGATACACCTAATAAGGGTTACTTTGGGCTACAGAATTAACTAGATCATGAACTAAAGACAAAGACTGAGGCCATGGGCAAAGGCAATGAACCACCCAATCTATACACTAAACTAAAAGTTGCAATATGTAAATATCTGATTCACCCCCAAAAAACTGTGAAGAATGTGCTTGCTTATCTCACGTATCCAAGATTCTCAGGTTGCTGGGCTGATTATGGAAGAAATAGAAGGACAAGCAATGGAATCAAGCTAACATCAGGTCAAGAAAGACAGTTCTGCAGGTAGCTCTGCGAAGTGTTTTATGCTTTGAATGTCATGTGGTATTTTGCCTTAGAGATGGTCAGAGCTTGGTTCTTAAGGGACAGAGAGTTCATAGACATCTTGTTATTGATTATTTCTGAACTAAGGTTTTCGGCATTCTCATAAGACTCTGAAGTGGTAAGTGGCAATAATTTATTCTCAAACAGAAAAGATGCAAACTCTTATAGTATTAATATAATAATGTTTTTCTTAAGACATATTTTACTAAAATATACATTTAGTGAATAATGTATATTTAAGTAATGTATTATTTACATTTAGTGAATAATGTATATTTTAGTAAATAATGTATTATTTAGTAAATCATATATATTTTAGTAAAATATTTATTAATATTCCAATAAAATCAAAATCAAAATATTTTAATAAAATAAAATAATATTTTAATAAAATAACTGATTTAAAATAAAAATAATTTTAATAAAATATTTTAATAAAATATATGAAAAAGATATTACTAAATTTCTTTTACCTTGTTAGAATGTTTGGAGCATCAATTAACCTAACAGACAGAAGTTTCAGGTTTCAGAATCAAACAAATCAGATTTCAATCTTAGCTTTCCCACTTAGTAGACATAGGACTAATAAGCTTCAGTTTCCTCACCTTTTAATCATTAACAAAAATTAGCTAGTTTAAGGTTTTTGTGAAAGTATGAAATGAGATAGTATATATAGATATGTTGCTGTCTATGAAAATATAAGTATTCAATAGAGGTAACTATAAGTATTAACTCAATATTACTTGAAATATATGTTTTTAAGATTTAGTTCTCAAGCCCATCTGAGACTAGTGCATGACAGAGACACATACTTTCTTATTCACAATCACAGTGATCATGAAACTCACTGGGTAGCTGTACAGCACCTTTCATTTATTAGAGCTTTAAATTTTTCTTTTTTCTTTTTTTTTTTCTGGAGACGGAATCTTGCTCTGTCGTTAGGCTAGAGTGCAGTGGCGCGATCTCAGCTCACTGTAACCTTCGACTCCCTGCTTCACGCAATTCTCTCGCCTCAGCCTCCCGAGCCTCCTGAGTAGCTCCGATTATAGGCACGTACCACCATGCCCAGCTAATTTTTGTATTTTTAGTATAGATAGGGTTTCACCATGTTGGCCTTAAATTTTAAAATGTACTAAGCTAACATGAACAAAACATTGATTTCTATACGTTTTCTGTAATCACATACTTGACCCCTATGTAAATATAATCAAATGTGTAAATTGAGTATTATTATTCCAAAGGGGAAAAAGTAACAAGCGATAAATTGGTTTTCAAGGACTTGTTTGTTTTCAAATAACAGAAGATACAAGCCACAGTATTTAAATAACTAAAAAATCAAATCATCCAATCATTAAATACCACACTGGAGACTGTTAGATAAAATCCAAGGATATGTTTTCAGGTTATAAATATTAATAAGCCAAGTTTGACTTCAAATGTTAACATGATTGAATCAGCCAGATGCTCTTCCATGTATTTCTGTGAGTTTGATTTCTGCACAGGTATTCATTCCACCATAAAAATGTCTTCAAAGATTGCGAAAATACCACCAGAAATTGAAAGATAGAAATAAATGGAATGCATTATGATTCCTGAATCGTTTATTGGCCTGAACCATGGTTATATTAATAATGCCATTATGATAACAACAGTTAATATTGAGAAGGTGTGTGAAATGGTAGGTCAGACAAAGCATCAAATAAAGAATCCAATGACATTCAGTTTCCACTTACATATTCTCCTGGTCTCTCTTCAGCCAGCACAGAAAATCACCAGCTCTCGGCCAAATATTATAGCTCACACACACACTGTTGAAGGGAAAGACTTCATTATATTGCTAATATTTGCCTTTTAAAACTTTAAGGCGAAAGATATAGCAATTGCCTGTGAAGCGTGTTCCCTGTCTGTTTCCTCTTCTTCATTTTTGTGCAGGATATCCACCTCTCTATGTAGGTCCTTGAATGTGTTTTACCCTCTGTAACACTTCCCTGTCTATCTCTGCTTCTTTATTAAGAGTATCAAAAGATGAAAATCAAGTCCAAGACAGATGGGCATAAGCAGTGAAAATAAGATAAATTTGATTAAAGCCTGGGGTAAGCACTAGAAGCAAATTGCTACAGCAAAAACCAGTATCTATTACAGGAACTTAGTACATATTTCTAGAATGAATATTTCATTTAACCCCACTAGTAACACCATAGCATATGTATTAGTATTCCCTATTAATAAAAAGAAAAACCGATGTTAAACTAAATTGGGTATGCTGCACAGCAAAAAAAAAAAAAAAAAAAAAAAAAGAGTAGAAAGCTGGAAAGAAAAATTATATCAAAAAGAATGTGAGGTACATGTTTTTTATTTATTCCATTATTCCATATTTGCCTTCACCCTGGTCTATATATGTATGTGTCATATGTATGTGTTTCTTCATTTTAACATTTTTTCTTCATATCTCCTCTGGCTTTTTTTCCCCGTTACAATAACCATAACACCACACAAAATTTTAGAACATTTGCTGTAATTATCAAGTAATACTTATGTTTTCTGGTTCTCATTTTTAAAAGGAAGTTGGAGGCATAAAGACTAATACTGAATATTTCTTTTTTTTTTTTTTAAAGAGAAAGAAAGAGAAAGGGCAAGTACAAAGCCCTATAATTTTGTCTTGCCACGGATGAGATCAATAATAAAAAAAATAATTTTCTATCCCTCCCTATATCATAAAACAATGTATCTTATTTTATTGCTACTAGGCAAGTAAACCAAAATCAAAGACTTCATATGTTGTCATGTGTATACTTAAGTAGCTTAAAGTATAGTAGGAAATACAGCACATGTAGGAATTGAAAACAAGGCCATTTTTAGCTAATTATACTTTATAAACTAACATTTATTTTTAAGCTCATTCTGCTGCATTTATCATGGTTGCCATGAAGGCAAAGTAGATAAGAAGCAAAAGGGGAGCAAGGGCAACTAGAAGAAGAAAGACAGCAGAAAAAAAAAAAAAAGATGTTAGGGCAGATGAGGATTGGGGTAAGAGGGAAAGAGAATAAACCAGGAAAAACAACATTTTATGTGATGAGAATTAAGATTTTTTTTTTTCAAAAAGCTTTTAGAGAAGGAAATAGAATGCCAACACATGCAGAAGATAGACATATAATTAGATATTTAACATAATACAGAAAGAGATGGCATGAGGCATGTTAGAGTGCTAAGAATGCCACAGAGGTATCAATAGGACACTTAGTCTAATCTGGGGATGTAGGCAGAAGGACATTCTGAAAGATTTGCCCAGCAGAAGCCTTATAAAATGAGTAAGAGTAAACAAGAATAGGAAAGACATTCCAGGCCAAACCAAGTCGCAGCACTAAGAAAATGTATTATGTGCTGGGAGGCACAGCAATCTGAAGTTCCTGGAATATGGCATGTAATATGAAGAGTAATGGGAAAGAAGTCAACAGACAGATACTTGCAAGTTCATAGAGGGCTTGTCCCTTAGTGTAAGAGTACTGCCTAGAATCAATGTAAAGTAATATGATCTGCAGTCATGGCTTGGTTACCTTACAATTATTGCAAAGTAGATTTGTTTATATTTTCCCAACTTTGCATCACCACTGCCCCCTTTCATACAAAATTAAAGTAAACATATAAAACATGGATAATTCTTCAGCATTCTTTTAAAGAGATCCACCATTATCATGCAAGCTTTTAATGTTTTTAAGCTGAAAACAAAACAAAAAAAAATTTAAATATGAGTGAATACTCCTAAGAGCAGAGGTGATTTTTTTTAATATGCCTGTGGCATGGAGGAATGAATTTCAACTTAGCAAAAAAATGGTAAGTCTTTTATTTTTGTCACTTACAAATGAACAGTAGCAAAATCTCTTTTTTTCAATTTTTTTTGTAATACACAAATCACAACTAAAGCTTTTGAAAAGTGTAGAGGTCCCAGAAAATTCTGAGGCAGTCATGTAGCACTGGAGTCCTCTGATCTCAGTCCCCTTCCAGGACTAAAGACGATTTTCAATCTTTGCAAAACATAGATAAATCAACAGAACCAAAATCAAGCTGCTCCACAGCAAATGTCTAACCTCAAATTGTCCACAGTTTCTTTTTTCTCAAATAGAATGTCTCCTTTCAAATTCTCTATTCCATTTAGCACATGCAATATTTAGCTCCCTAATATATTCATTCACTTTTTTGTCTTTCCTGAGAAACATGCCCTGTTCTTGGCATGCTGGGATAACTAAATGAATTTTCCTTCAAAAGGCCAATGTTTTCTAAACTCATTGATTTATCTCAAACAGTATCCATCAACTTTTGAGTATCTGTGTGTATTCAGTGCTATGCTAGGTATGGCAGGAGATACCAATAAAAACTCCAAGAAAAGAAATTCAAGAAAAGAAACTCAGCACTTTTTTCACTGACTTTATGATCAGGCTGTGGGAGACAAGACTAACATGCATACAACATCTAGGAAACAATTTGAGACAGTGTATAATTAAGTGTTGAATGTAATACTGACTGTAAGTGCACAATTCTTCACTAATTACCAATTGCTTTAAGGAATTAACTTTGGGGATTTCAATCACAATGTCTCTGTAAGCCTTAATTCTTGAAACCAGCAATTCAATTCATTTCAAAGAGTTACAAACATACCCCGGTTTAGCAAATTATCAGCATTGTTCTCAGAAATGTTTTTTTTCCATTAAGCAATTAATTTAAATCCTGATTGTTCTGACCTCCAGGGCCTTTTGGGAGGTGCTTGTTTCTCAGACACAATTTGATTTTTCAAATGAATTTTCAACTGGATGCAAGATTCAGAGTCCTGAGGGGAACGAATATACTTTCTACCTAGGAGCAGGACAAAAGGAGAAGTCCAAAGCAGGCCTGTTATCATCTCTGGTAGGGATGAACAAACTCCAGCCCTGGCCTTTTTTCCTTTTTCCTGTCTTCCTTTTCTCTCTTTTAGCTACTTTTCTTTCCCTCTACTGTCTCCCCTACTTTGTCTCCTTGCCCCTCTTTTGCCTTTGTTTTAGTCTGGCCAGTAACATTTGCTGCAGAAAGGCTGGGCTCCCTGCTAAACTCCACCCTTAAGCCTGGAACCGCAACACTATGTGAAAACAGCTGACCCCATTTTTCCACCCAAATGTTGGCTTTTTGCCGTGCCATGCCCCTATGCCATAAAAAAGACTTCAGCTGGCAGACCAACACAAGTAGCTGAGCAGCGAGTATGCAACTGGCTGATCGGCGAACAGGGAAGTAACTCAGCGTCAGAGACTACAGGTAGATGCAGTTAACCTCAGACAGTGCAGCTTCAAAGAAACTCACCTTCTTCCCACACTATCCCCTTACCAACTTCCCATCCTGCTAAGAGCCACATCCATTGCCAAGTAAAATCTTCTGCATATACTACCCTTCAGTCTGTTCATGAGACCTGATTCTTCCTGGATGTGGGACAAGAATATAGGTGCCAAGAGGGCAGGGGGCTTAAGTGCTGCTGGCGGGCCCACACAGAACCTGCTCCTGCCAGAGAGGAGGAACCAGCTGGTTCCAGTATTCATTCACTCTGTTTCCCACATTCTCTTGCTCACACACTACCTTTCATGAGGAACGGCCAGCGGTGGGCTGAGTGAAACAAGCCACTTTAGTTCCTGCCCACGAAGGGTGTCAAGGTTAAGGGAATAATCCTGTCTCACATGGCAGAAAAAGACTCCTCAGTGACACTCCTCAGAATGGAAGAGCCTCCTGACTCTAATCTCTGATGCCTCCTTTGCCAGCATGTTGGAGAGGGGCATAGCAGGGATTACGGCCATAGAGAATAAGCAATTTCCATCCTTGGAATGTTGGAACCTTTAGCCAGCCTCCAATCAACTAGTAGGTGTGCTAAGAAGACTGCAAACGTATTTTTCAAATGTGCTCGTCAGGCAGAAACATCACTAAATTCTTACTTCCCTCAGCTCCCCTGAGCATCTTCATGGATTCGCTCAGCCAGGACAGCATAAAGGGCTCTGGTCAGCAGCCACAGGCAGGCACAGCCATATCCAAACTTGCCCTTTGTTTCCCTTTAACAAAGAAATAATGGGCCGCCATTATGTTTGAAATGACATTTGTTTCCTCTTCTGTCTGAAAGTGGTACAGGCTAGAGGAAAAGCACATGTTACTCCACTTCTCTCAGCTTCTGTTTTCTCTTCAGTAAGAAAGTGATATCCACACAATCGGTTGCTGTAGAAATGAACTGAGAGGACAGCATGGCAGAAAAGAAAAAAACAAACTTCCCAGCTTCAAATCTCAATTCTGCATCTTTCCAGATAGATAGCCTGACCAAGTTGTATAACTTTTCTATGTTTTAGATTCTCATCTCTAAACCACGGATAATAACAGTATCTATTTCATGGACTTTATATCTCAGAATTCAATACATTGAATTAGGTAATACATATACAAAACTCTGTTAATATTAGTCTTTTTTACATAAGGTAACTTGCACATAGTTGATACTCGATAAATGTAAGCTCTCTTCTTTCCTTTCATTTGGACCTACTGGAGGGTGTAATACTTAGGAGAGTGACTACTCTACAGCTTTCTACTAGGAAATGTTATTTCCTTAGTTCAACCTCTTTCTTGGTTTCTATCTCAATCTAAATGTTTTCTTCTTTCTTCTCCTTTCACCTGTATTTCCCTAGCCTACAATCTGTTCTATACACCTGGCCACCTCTCAGAAGCACAGAATCAAGGTGGACAACACTACTGGCTTCTATGATGGACAGAACAAGGTCTCAGTCCTGCTCCCCTACTCAAAATCACTATCATACATGATCATCGGTAGAAGTAATATGCTCTGTGATCTTATAAAACTCAGCAATATGCACTGAATGCTTCCTTAATATGTCATTTAAAACTGTAAATAATGGTCAAAATAGGATGAAAACATGAGCCAACATCAAAAGCATTTTTGCAGTAGACTGTAATTAGGAAATTTTACTTTGATGAACATAAAAATGTCCAAGAATGCTCAAACAACTTAGATGATTAAAAATAGGAATGAGTGGATTTGGGGAATTTCTGCTATTATTTTATACTTTAAAAGCCAATGGAAAACAAAATTTATATAAATGGATGAATAAAGATGGTTTTCTTAACATATAGCCCTACCATAATTGATAGCATTTATCTTGGTCTACCTACAATGAGGGTTCAAAAGTGGTCTTGAGCACGTAGTAGATATACAAAAGATTAAGAGAAAGGGATTAAAGCATATCACCACAAAAAGTCATCAAATCACAAAGGAAAACAGCAAGAAAGGAAGAAATTAAAGAAGGAACTACAAGAATAAAAACCAGAAAACAACTAATAAAATGGCAATAGTAAGTCCTTACCTATCAGTAATACTTTAAACAAAAGTATTTTTGATGGTGAGCATATTCCTGGGATTGACTAAACTGATGACACAGGAATAAGAGTACAATTTCCAGTAAGTCTCCCACCCTCCAATTACTAAAACGTGAATTAGTAATTTCTTTCCAAAGCTAAACGCGTTGGGAGCCAAATTACTTGTGTGATCATGGTAGTGACAATGATGGCTGGTATGTATTGAGTGCTTGCTCTATGTCAGACACTGTCCAATACATTCTACATCTCTTATCTGATCGACTTATATGATCGCATTTACTCCTATAGCAGCTTAATGAGCAGAACTACACTTTTTCTTTTTTACTAATAACAGTTCAGAGAGTCAACTAACTTGCTCAAGTTCACATAACCGAAAGGATGGTTCCTGCTAGTGCAAAGGCAGATAAGGCAAATCCGAAAGCACTTTGCGGTGAACTTTTAAAGTGATTTAATGGGGTCAAGGTTGGTCAACAGCAGAAGTTATCTAATACAAAAATCTTCACAGTCATTAACTTTTATATTTGTAATATTGGCCTTAAATATTAACTACCTCTTTATTTGCAAAGTCATGTAATTCTGTTCCTAGGAACCACAATCTGAAAATTTACCAGAAACCTTATTGTGCTGTACCAGATCTCTCCAATTCAGTTTATAAACCAGAAACCCTTACCAACAGACAGGATCTGTATAAAATCTAATCTTTTTCCTTTTACAAAGGAACAAGTAACAAGGCTGCTGGCCAATTTATACAGCAGATACAAATGCCTTTAAATTCCTCCCTGCCTTCTTGCTATCAAAAAAGTTAATTATTATCAAACTCCAGGCTCTCAAAAAGAGGCCAAAAGTCACTTTGCTCCAAACTCCTTGCCAGGTAAAAGAAAGTGGGAGGAAAATGGCAGTTTTATTCTGAACCAAATTCTTTATTCTCTAGAATAAAACAACTTTAAAAATTCAGATAAAATTTGCAAGACAAATTGTTACATGAGGCTGGGAGACAGGGGGAAGGGGAGGAGTTGGGGAGAGAGTAAAATACTTGAAAGCCACAAAGAAAGACAGTTCAGAGTAGATAATCAACTATTTCTAAGGTAAAATGGTAGAGCTTGAGTGATGTATATTAAAACATTATTAAATGAAGACCTAATCTAATAAGATTGCCTGCTCTCTTACTGTGCATAGAAACTTAAAAGCTATCCAGTCCTTGTTTGGAGGAGAAATATCCATTAAAGATTGAAGTGCTTTGGAAATCACGTTTCTTGATAGACCTTTGATGCCCAAAACCAGTCTGAAGAACAAAATAAGGGCATAGTACACATATCCACATATGCAGAAATATGAAGAGGGAGAAAGAGAGGAGACGATAAAATAAAAAACTAATTTCAAAGACAAGTCAGCCATCAGAATGTCTTTCAATTTATAGAACCATTTGTAGAAATCAAACTCTTGTTTGCATGTGATTTTGGAAATATGGATTTTCCTAAAGCTAAATGGATAGTGAATTATGGTTTCACAGAGACTGAAGTAAAAGTAATCTTGGAGATCATTAACATTCTCAGAGGGCTCTTTTGGCTTTGAACATATGAACTACAATAGACTGTAGGAGAATTCTAATTTATATACTCAATTTGTTCAGATGAATTAGGAAAAAAAAAAAAAAAAAAGCCTATGAAGGAATAACTTATAATGTGGTTAAGACAAAAAGGTTATAACTTTACTATAAAGTTGCTAATGCACATGAAAATTTGATTATAAAGTACTGATTCCATATTCCACACTCAGAAGATGCTTTAATTCATAAATAGTAGAATATCATAACTATGAGAATAGCAGGCAAAATGGCTTCACATATAAATCAAAATTCCAAGAAAGCTCGATTCCTAAATGATTGTTTTCTGGCAAAAGATCCATAGAGTATAGACTGGGTTTGCGTCAAGGTCAATTGCTTGAATGACACGGAAAGCATGTGTATCACAGGCTAGACTTCTTGCCAAAAAGGAAATGCCTTTTTCAAATCGACAACTTTGTTATCTCCTTTCACAACAGTGGTTACATTTGAGTTTTACATTATGGGTGCAATGAAGCTGGAATTTACTGCCTTAATAATAGATCAAAGCAAATCAGAAAGTAATTAGTTGATAGAGCAATGGGCTGCTTATCTGAACAACTCGTTTATGGAATATAAAGGAACAGGAAACCCTTGACTTCTATAGCTTTAGAAATAAAGAAGAGGAACAATTCTATGGAAGTACAGTTTATCAGCAGAGTGAAATCCAACTACATCTATTCTTTTCTCTTGCAAATTAGTTCCTTTTTTTCCTTAGGACTAAACTTCCTAATCTGAGAATCCATTTATCTTCATTGCGTATGTTTCCCTAGAGGCTATATATTCATTTTCTGGATATTAGATACCCTATTTACCACAGCCTGGAGCCTGCAGACATTTGCTGTGTAGGGTTTTCTCCCCTCCTCTTTCAAAGAAGAATTTTATAGTGAAAATTACTGATAAAGGAAGTGAGTGACAGACCCCTATTGGGCAGCCAGTAATCACTATACATTTTGATTTTATATTATTATTATTATTATTTAGCATGTTAAGTGTCTACTCTATCATTATTGTGGGTGACTTCTCAGGGGGTAGCATTCAGTTTCAAGCGGACAGAGTTTAATATTAGTTTGAAAATGGTTAACAACAGGCTGAAGGCCTAACGAAAACACATTTAGAAAGTCAACCAGAGGGATTTTTATTTTAATGAAAAAGAATAATGAAAAGCCCTCTGCAGGGAGAGCAAATTTGACAAGGTTATTTAAACATATATGCAGGCTTTAATGTTTCAAAGGAGTTTTTTCCCTAATAGGATTTAATCTAATTTGTGGGTTTGGACCTGAGTTTCAGGGTAGTTGCAAGGTAGTCTTGGAGAGCAAGACTCCTTTGCCACCAGTTAAGAATTTAGAATAGATTTTAGGGTGTTTGTGTTGGATGGGGGCTAAGAGGTGATCTAATTTAATCTCTTCATTCATAGGACAAGAAACTGAAGCTCAAAAACGAAAATGAATTCCCCAAGGCCATGAAGCTAGTAATAGAGCTGTACCGAGGGTCACCATGTGATGAGCACTTATGCAAGCCCTATCCGTTAGTAACTTTATATCTGTAATCCCTACAATAGACTGTAAGCAAGTACTATTATCATTTTATCAACCAAAAAAAAAAATATATATATATATATATAGAAACTCAAAGGATTTATGTAATATACCAAAGATCACATAGAGAGAAGAAGGCTGATTCTAGGGGGTGCCCTTAGCTGTTCACCCCAGTCCGCTGCCTATCACAAAGCCTTCTGCCTTTAGTAGACTAGCTTTCAGCAAATATAGCCAGGTTCTGTCTTCGAAGCCTGTACTATCAACTGATCTGTTTCTATTTGCTTATGCTTTAATTCTGACATCCTTTACTTGATATCTTGAATCAAGATATCAAGTTCCCAATTCAGCCCCAACCTCTCCAGAAATGAGGTTTATTCCTCTTGGCTCCTACTTGGGATCCACCACTTTTCTTCTTCAGATCCAACTCCTGAGACACTACCAAAGGCCAGTGATCCTGTTTCAGAATCCATTGAGGGGCAGGTCAGATGGAAATCTGATCAATGCAACTCCAAATTGGGTGGAGTGGAGGTGGCAGTGGGGTGCATGTGTGTGTTTGTGTGCATGTATGTTGTGTGATGGCAATGGTATGCTGGAAAGGAGGGATCTGGGACCAATCTGGCAGACCAGTGATTCAGTTATTCAATTTTGTCATCAATTGGTTTAGGATTGGAATACAACTCTAAAATCTACCCCTGGGCAGTACAGAAGCTGCTGACCAGAGGATATTCAGCATCGGATTAAGTCAGAGCTACTCTGGCAGTGGGGATCATCTATGGTTCCAGCAATGAGGCACTAGAACCAGCCAAAGTAGGGAAGCCGAGGCACAGCCTGACACATTGCCCCAATTCCCAGACCTGTCTGTCACTTCATCAATCTTCTGCAGGTGGGATCTGTTGCAAGTGGTCAGCCATTCTAGGACCAACTCCCCTGCTTTCTGTTCACATGAGCACCATCTTGGGAGACTAACAGTTTGGGAATTTTCCTCCACTATACCTTGTGCCCACCCTTAATGATCACTTTCTTTCACCCTGAGTTTTATCTCTTAAATAGTATACACCTTATAAGAATGAATGAAAATTTGTTTACAGCCGTGTCTCCAACACTGAGGTCTCTTAGTAAACTTAGTATGTTAAGCCTGAGCCAACATAGGCCAGAAGGTGTATGGGAATAAATTTACAAATGTATTTCTACCTTCATGACTAATTTCTGTGAGGTAAGTCGTATATTTTAAATTTAAACTAATGATCAATATGCCTGAAAACTGCCGTTGATATAGCATACATTATAAAAATATTGCAACTTCCCAACAAAATATGAGAAATAAAATCCTAATAAAATGAATATTTTAATTTTTGGGTAAATCCATTGGGAATTTAATTAAAGGAAAACCAGCCATTGTACTGCTAAGTTTACAGAGCCAATGAAACAACTCCAAAAAAAGTCTCTAATCCACTAAATTTCCTCCTATGTTAAATAAGATATAGCATATTGCATAAGTGATCCAGTAGATATAATTTGCTCAAAATTTTTTAATAAACTTTTTGAAAAGTTTCTTTATAACAGATTATAAGGGAAAGAAATCAGTAGAGGGTAAAGGACAGAATACTGCCAAGAATTGCTGTGAAGAGTCATGGAAGTCTTAGTGAACAGCTGTGACTAAGAGTGAAGTTAGTAATTAGACATCCAGGGGTCTAGCACTGGTCCTAGCATTGTTCAGTACAGTGTATTTGATGAGAAAGAGGTGGAAAAACTGGGAGATGCATTAGTACGGATAAAGAACTTGACTGTCAAATCTTCCAATGACTGCTTTAGGTAGATGGACAAAGCTGGTCAAGAACAATGAAAGTTATCACATGAATTCAGCATTTTGAGACTTATGCAGAAATGAAGGCACTTACAATTCAACTTCTATCAATAGTCATACCAGCAGAAATTAATTCAAACTTCTCTGAAATCTATTCTGCAAAGTAAACTGGTTAAAAGACAATCTAATGTCTATATAAATAGTTAAATGACAAGAGAGAAATGCAATTATAACATGAATCAGTTGTATAAATACAAAATGTTTATCTATGAATTTCTATAAAATTATGGTAACAGACAACTACTCACTGATTTTTAAATGATTCAATATGCTTGTTTTTTATTGCATATTCATGTTATTCCACATCGCCCTAGGGCTTAGCAGCCTGTGGTACAAATGAGTTCACATTAGCATTGATACACAAATTTCCGTGGAAAACAGTTATCACTCTCAGAACTGCATCAAAATCTTCAAGGTTTTCAGGGTACTGGACAGAGGATTAGCATCATTTCTTTCCTGAGAAAAGCACACTTTACCCCTAAGACTGGTATCTGGATGCTACATGAGAAACCTGCATGCCTAATGTCCTCAGCATTTCTCCAGAAACCACTTAACTCTGATGTCACAAGAACTTCTGCAAGCCCTTGGGTTTTTAAGAAAGATGTAGTCTTCAAAATCTGTCACAGCATTACTTTTGATATCACATGCTCCTCCAGGACTTTGCTACTTCCTCATTAAGAAGTAGATTCTCTTTTTTCTCCCCTTGACATTAGGCAGGCTTGAAATGATAGAGTAAGTATAATAAGGCAGAAGTGATGCTATGTGACTTCCAAGACTAGATAACAAAAAGGATATAGCTTCTTTCCAGCTGTCCCCTTTAAGATCTTAGCACTTAGAACTCAACCACCATATTGTGAGGAAACACAAACCACATGGAGATACCATGTGTAGCTGTTCCCACCAGCATCCCCAGCTACAATTTTAGTATACAGCTGCATCAGTTGCTAGATGTGCACAAAAAGTGGACTTCAGGCTAGGTACAGTGGTTCACATCTGTAGTCCCAGCACTTTGAGAGGCTGAACCTGGAAGATTGCTTGAGTGCAGGAGTTCGAGAGCAGCCTGGGCAACATAGTGAGACTCTGTCTCTACAAATAAAAAATTAGCCAGGCCCAGTAGCACACACTCGTACCCCCAAATACTCAGGAGGCTACGATGGAAAGATTTCTTGAACTCAGGAGTTCCAGGCTCCAGTGAGCCATGATTGCAGCACTGTACTCCAACCTAGGAGATGAAGCAAAACTCTGTCTCTAAAAATAAATAAATAAGTAAATAAATGTCTAGACGACTCCAATGCCTAGCTTTGGAGTTGCTCAGCTGACTCCTAATCAAGCAGCAATTAGCTATTTCTGCAAAACTCTGTCCAAATTGCAAAATGTGAGCAAAAGAAAGGTTGTTATTGCTTTAAGCCACTGTTTGGGGGTGGTTTGTCATACAGCATTACGTAGCTGAAGCAATCCTCCTTCATGAGAGCTACACATATTTCAACACAGAACGGCGAATACCAACATCCTCAATTCTATGTCACAATTTGAACATAAGTTCCAAGCATATGCCTACTCAAATACTACAGAATCCTTCATAAAAACAAGCCTCATGGCTTCTACTTTAGACATTTCCCAAAGAAGCCACTAAAGATTCTTGGCCCAGCACAAAAGTCTTTTGTCATCTCAAGCTCACTATTTCTCTCCAAGGAAGTTTATTCCTAAATTTCCTAATAGAAGGCTCCTTTTATGCATACATTTCGATTCATGTAAATAGGTGCTTGTGCACTGACAAAGATAAAGCTAAGTAACTGTTCCATAATTTCAGATGGAACAATGAGATTCACTCAAATTCCCACTTCAGGCTCAACTTACTCCTATTACACCTTATAAACCATATCTGAAAGAGAAACCTTCTAAGAGGCTGTGATTTCATTCTCTATCATGGTAATGTCATTTCATAAGAAGTAAAGTGGCCAGGCAATACAAATAAGAACAAAGGAAATTTTATTTTTGGAGGGAAACATTTTCTTGTCAGAAATGTACTTTGTAAGGGTTACAGGGCTACAGTAGAAGTCAAAAATGCTAATACTTCTTAGAAAGAATGTCATGCTACCAAGCTAACACTTAGGGAGAAGTAGGGGGGTTATTAATAGAGGTTGGCTCTATGTCTCCATCCAAATCTTATCTCTAATTGCAGTCCTCACATTTTGAGGGAGGGACATGGTGGGAGATTATTAGATCATGGGGGCAGCTTCCCCCAAGCTGTTCTTGTGATAGTGAGTTTTCATGAGACCTGATGTTTTAAAATGGCACCATCCTGCTTCCCTCTCCATGGACCGCTCTCGCTCTCTCTCTCTCTCTCTCTCTCTCTCTCTCTCTCTCTGTCTCCTGCTGCCACGTAAGACATGCCTTGCTTTCCCTTGGCCCTCTGCCATGATTTTAAGTTTCCTGAAGTCTCCTCAGTCATGTGGAACTGTGAGTCAATTAAACCTCTTTCCTTTGGAAATTACCCAGTCTCAGGTGTTCTTTAGAGCAGTGTGAAAATGAACTTATACAGAAAATTGGTACTGGGAGTGGGGCACTGCAATAAAGATAATATGAACATGTGGAAAAGACTTTGGAACTGGGTAACAGGCAGAGGCTGGAACAGTTTGGAGGAGTCAGAAGAAAGGATGATATGGGAAAGTTTGGAACTTCTAAAGAGGCTTGTTGAATGGCTTTGACTAAAATGCAGACAGTAATATGGACAATGAAGTCAAGTCTGAGGTGGTCTCAGATGGAGATGAGGAGCTTGTTGGGAACTGGAGTAAATGTTACTCTTGCTATGCTTTAGCAAAGAGATTTGGTAGCATTTTATCCCTCTCCTAGAGATCTATGGAACTTTAAACTTCAGAGAGATGCCTTAGGGTATCTGGTGGGAGAAATTTCTAAGCAGCAAAGCATTCAAGATGCAAACTGGCTTTCTCTAAAAGCATACATTCATATGCATTTACAGAGAGATGGTTTGAAACTGGAACTGATATTTAAAAGAAAAGCAGAGCATAAAGGTTTGAAATATTCACATCCTGACCATGTGGTAGAAAAGAAAAACCTATTTTTTGGGAAGAAATTCAAGCCAATACCAGCTGCAGAAATTTGCATAAGTAACAATGAGTCTAATATTAATAGCCAAAATAATAGGGAAAATATCTCCAGGGCATTTTGGAGATCTTCATAGAAGCCCCTCCTATTACAAGTCTGGAGACCTACAAGAGAAGAATTGTTTCATGGGCCAGGCCCAGAGTCCCTCTTCTCTGTGCAGCCTTGTGACAAGGCACTATGTGTCCCATATGTTCCAGTGCCAGCCATGGCTAAAAGTGGCCAACATGTTCAGGCCACTGCTTCAGAGGGTCAAAGCTCCAAGCCTTGGCAGCTTCCATGTACTGTTGGGCCTGTAGGTACACAGAAAACAAGAGCTAAGGTTTGGAAGCCTCTACCTAGATTTTAGAGGATATAGGGAAATGCCTGGATGTCCAGGCAGAAGTCTGCTGCAGGGGTAGAGCCCTCATATTCCCTCTGCTAGGGCAATGCAGAGGGGAAAATGTGGGGTTGGAACACACACACAGAGTTGCCACTGGGGCACTGCCTAGTGGAGCTGTGAGAAAAGCACACCAACCATTTAGATCCACTGATAATTTGCACTGTACACCTGGAAAAGCTGCAGGCACCCAATGGCAGCCCATGAAAGCAGCCACGGGAGCTGTACCCTGCAGAGTCACAGGGGCAGAGCTGCCCAAGACTTTGGAAACCCACCTCTTGCATCAAGGTGCTGTGGATGTGAGACATGGAATCAAAGGAAATCATTTTGGAGCTTTAATACTTAATGAGTGCCCTGCTGGGTTTTGGACTTGAATAGGGACTATGGCCTCTTCATTTTGGTCAATTTATCCCATTTGGAATGGGAACATTTACCCAATGATTGTATTTTCATTGTATCTTAGAAGTAACTAACTTGTTTTTGATTTTACAGGCTCATAGGCAGAGGGACTTGCCTTGTCTCAGATGAGACACTGGACTTGGACTTTAGAGTTAATGCTGGAATAAGCTAAGATTTCAGGGGATGGTTAGGACAGCATGATTGGTTTTGAAATGTGAAAAGAATATGAGATTTGGTAGAGGCCAGGGCAGAATATGGTTTGGCTCGTGTCCTTACCCAAATCTCATCTTGAATTGTAATACACATGTGTCAAGGGAGGGACCTAGTGGGCAGTAATTGGATCATGGGGGAAGTTTCCCCCATGCTGTTCTTGTGATAGTGAATGAGTTCTCATGAGATCTAATGGTTTAAAGTGGCACTTTCTGCTTCGCTCTCTCTCTCTCTCTTCTGCTGCCATGTAAGACATTCCTTCCTTCCTTTTGGCCTTCTGCCATGATTATAAGTTTCCTGAGACCATGTGAAACTGAGAGTCAAATAAACCTTTTCCTTTATAAATTACCCAGTCTCAGATATTCCTCAGAGCAGTGTGAAAATGAACTAATACAGTTATGGAAAAAAACTCTTTATGCTTTATAAAACTATGAAGAGCTAAGAGTTAGAAGACCCTACAGTAAACAAATAGAGACGAGCTAAGAGAATATTCCAAATAAGTGATATGGAAATAAATTTCTTTTTAAGAAATAAATGGGATCTAAAATCAAGTGAAAAACTATATAACATTTACCCCATCCCTCTATAGCAGAGAAGTTTTAAAAACAAAAATTGCAATTAATTATAAGATATTCAGATGATATTCAGAAATTGAAGCAAGCACAAAAGTTTTATATTTTTCTTATTGTTAACTTCATTTTATGAAAGCAATACAAATTAGAGAGTTGTAGATTTATAATCAAAATAAATACACACTTGAAAATCATATATAAATATAATAGTATGTAATAGCTCCTAAGTTTATTGCAATACTTTCATTTTGAGCAATGTTTGACTTAATAATTTGTAAAAAATTGTGGCTTTTTAATTTTAATAGTTAATTATTACTAATAATAACTGTAGCTTCTAGCCATTTAGAATTCAATGGAGTCAGTCATTGTACTATTTACTGACAGTATCTTACATCATCCTCAGAAAAATCCTTTGAGATACATATTATTATTTGTTATCTCCAGAGCAAAACAGCTTAAATAACTTTCTCAGTATCCTATAACTGGCAGAATTAGGCACTAAAGGAGGCTATATAACCCCAAACTTGTGTTCTGAACCCCTGAAATAAAATCCTCCTGAAGTCATGTAAACTGTGGCATCAAAACTTTTACATTTAAAAATGTCCTTAACACCTCAGTTTAGGCTTAAGAAGACTACAGTTCAATCTAATTCTAATTATTCTCCAATGTGTCACTGACTCCTTCCCAGAAGGAAAAAAAAAAAAGGAAAAAACAGCTATCTTCTTTTTCTCTCTGCAACAACCACCATGGCATTCCTTCTCAAGGATCTTGCTTCTCTTAAGTATTTCAGGAGTGAGATCCAGGAATTCTGGATTTAAGAGTATCAGGAAGAGGAATTTGATTGTGGGGAAAACAAGCACTGCTTCATTGCCAACATGTGTCATGTGTTTGACAACCACACCCCTTAAAACCATGCCAACGTCCATGTTCTCTTTTTTGTTTTCTTAAAAAGATGTTCAAAATATGTTCATGCTAATGCAATGACACTGTATTTTACTTTGCTCCTGTTGAAAAGGTCAAGGAATTTGGCTCTTAGAAAAGGAAGTAATGGTAGGCAAATTCCAAATATAGACACATCATATTTTGGCAGAATGGACATTCCATGTTGGTTGAGCACTCAGCTACAGAATTATTATTAGCCAGCTTTCCATGATTAGCAGTGTCAGAAACTTAAAATTAATGTAAATGTGATATTTTCACTTTAACAGGGTGACCACAGAGTTTTAATCTTATCTATTAGCATGAACAATTTATCCTTAATATGCCACATATTTTAGTAATTGATAATTATATGATTTAATTTGCTCTCAGCCAACATTTGTGAGGTGCCTGATTTAATCATTAATATATAATTAAAAGTAAAAACTCAAAAATAAAGGAAGATCATCAAACAACCTTTACAGACTGCAGTAGATGTGACCGATGATTGTTTTAAAAGAGCAACAATAATCTTTGCCATGATCTTTTGCAATGAAATCTTGTAAGCTTTTCCATTCAGGAGGCATTCGTATCTTCTCCCCATGTTTCTTTACTGAACTTACGACTTCTTGGACCACTAAAATATGGCAAAAATGATAGTGTAGCCATTTCAGGTCCACCTCTCAAGAGTCCTAGTAGCTTTTACATTTCCTCTTGGGACCCAACTAATACCTCACCCTTCCCTGCCACTGGTAGACAGGCAGGCAATGCCTGCTAAAGCTACCAGCCTAGCAGTCTTGCTTCTGTGGAGAGTGCAGCTTCCTATTGTCCTGGAAAACAACTGGTTGAGCATGCCCTCACCACTGGTAGCCAGGCGGGCAAGATTTGCTAGAGCTTCTGACCCAGCAGCCACACTTCTATGTAAACTCAGCTGCAGCGCACAGCCTCCTGATGTTTCAGAAAACATTTGGTCAGCAAGGCACATGACCCTACCATCCCACCACTGATAGCCAGGTGGGCAATGCCTGCTAGAACTTCCAGCCCAGAAGTCCTACACCTGCCTGAATTTACCAAGGGGCAGAGCCTCCTTTTTTTGGTGGAAATATCCAAATAGCAGTGCTGACAACCCCATCTACCCCGACCTTCCATAGCTAGATAAATCACATCCACTAGAGTTTCCAAGAAAATTATTCCGCCTCTGCCTGAAATCTGCTTGTGGATGCAACTCCTTCTTACCCCGGGAAATACACAAATAGAAGATTAAGGCCAACCAGACAAGGAAACAGCTTGTTAGCCAACTGCAGTCTCAGCCCGAAGAAGCCTCATGGACCAGAATACCCCAAAAAAGAAATCCAGACATAAGACAGTAATTGGAGGGGGCTCCTCTAAGACCTAAGAACAATCTAGAATTGAAGACAGTCAACCAAATCCACCTTACACCATAATCAAACTCCCAAGAGCATCAAAGAAGAAAAAGGCAAAACAATCCATCCAAAGGACACCAACTTCAAAGACTAAAAAAACATCAGCCCACACAAATGAGAAAGAACCAGCACAAGCATTCTTGGCAACTCAAAAAGCCAGAGTTCCTTCTTTTCTCTAAATGATCATGCTAGTTCTCCAGCAAAAGGTCTCAACCAAACTGAGATGGCTGATATGACAGAAATAGAATTCAGAATGTAGATATGGGAAAAGAAGCGGCTTGCCACTGCAAACTCTGAGAGAGCTGAAAAACTGTGGGTGCTCAAAATGTGAGGGAGGCTGCCTCCAAACATGCATCCTCACTGGGGAATCTGAAACTCCCGATCATGAGAGAAGGATTTAAACTTACCTAGACCTGAAATGAATTTGAAGAGCCAAGTAAAGTTTAAAAATAGAAGAAGTAGCAGAAAGAGCCCACCCTGCAGGCACTCCTGTTCTCCAAGGAAACCATTTCTGACTTTATCTCACAGGGGCCCTTGGGAAGGGCTGCCACTGAAATTGGGAGGGACCACAGAAAGAAGGCAACTTCCAGCTGAACGTCATAATAATTTCTACTGGGTGTGAATTTTCCTGGACAGAATCCAGGGGTGGGGGAGCAAATGAGATGTGTAGATATGAGCACAGAAGCTGTGGCAGGCAGGGAGCAACAGGGCCTGAAAGCCCTTTTTGCTTTCTCAGTGGGGAGGCGTGTACCCTGGGGCAAGATCTCGGCCTTGCTCACCAGCTGCCTGGATATAAACTCAGTGTTGTTGGTGGGGCATGGTGGGAGTGAAACTGGCCTTGCTGACTGCATGGAAGCTGGATGAGGCCTGTCACTGCTGGCCTTCCCCCACTTCCCTGGCAACTAGTATGACACAGCAGAGGCAGCCATAATCCCCCTGGAAACATAACTCAATTGGCCTGAGAACCACACCCCCATTCCCCACAGCAGTTACAGCAAGCTCTGCCCAAGGAAAGTCTTGAGTTTAAACACCTCTAACACTGCCCCTCCTGATGGTTTTTCTCTACCTGCCCTGGCAGCCAAAGACAAAAGACATAATCTTCTGGGAGCTCTATGGCTCTGCCTATTGTCTGAGAAACTCAAATACTGACCCAGGTGATCTTAGGGAAAGCTTGTATCCCCGCTATACTATTGCAGCTGATGCAACTCTTGAAAGTAACACCTTCTGGTTAAAGGCCAATCAACTCAAGCCATTATAGTAACTCATAAAAGAACAACCCTACTCCAAGAAAAAATAAAACAACTGTGAATTCCACCATCTGTAGCATCCTGGCTAACCAAAGGTCCTGAGTCTGTCCGTGTGACAATTTTACTACTAGCACAACCAGCATTTGAGAAAACCACCAAGGACCCTCACAGAGTCCACTTCACTCCCCTGCTACCTCCACTGGAGAAGGTGCTGATAACCATGGCTGAGATATCTGAAGACGGGTCACATCAAAGGACTCTTTGCAGACACTTCCCTGTACCAGCCCAGAGCTTGGTAGCTCCACTGGGTGGGTAGACCCAGAAGGACAATAACAGTTACGCAGTCTAGCTCTCAGGAGGCACCATCCCTAGCAGAAGGGGAAGGAAACCACATCAAGGGATCACACTGTGGGACAAAAGAATCTGAATAGCCGGGCTTGTGCCCCAGATCTTTCCACTGAAACAGTCTACCCAAATGCCCATTAACAATGAACTAGATAAAGAAAATGTGGTACATATACACTGTGGAATGCTATGCAGCCATAAAATAGAATGAGATTGTGTCCTTTGCAGAAACGTGGATGAAACTGGAGGCCATTATCCTTAGCAAACCAACACAGGAATAGAAAACCAAATACTGCATGTTCTCACTCATAAGTAGGAGCTAAATAATGAGAACACATGTACACAAAGAGGGGAACAACAGACACTGGGGCCTAGCTGAGGGTGAACGTGGGAGGAAAGAGAGGTTCAGAAAAAAAACAAGCAACTATTTGGTACCATGTTTAATACCTGGGGACAAAATAATCTCAACAAACTCCCAAGTACAACAAACTCCCAAGTTATTAGTTTACTTATATAACAAACCTGCACATGTATTACTGAACCTAAAATAAAAGTTAAAATATTTTTAAGAATCAATGACTAAAGAAAAAGAAAAAAAAAGAAAAATACCTCAGGCTGGGCTACAGTATAAGGAGAGATCCTATGGGAAGAAAGGTTCCAGCCTTCGGCTCTCTCACCAGGGCCTCAGACATATAGATGAGGACATGTTAGCCCCAGTTGATCCCCTAAATAAATTAAAACCATGAGTGATACCAGGCAAGAGCAGCATGACCACAGCCAGACCACAGAACTATTCAACATAATAAATTATTGCTTTAAACCACTAAGTTTTGGGATGGTTTATTAACCAATACAGTGGATTAAGTTAGTCTGAAAACAAGTTTGGCTCTTGTTGCCTTAGCCCTCAAAAATCATTAATTGAAAGTGCTTTTCAAA